AGATTCACGGTGGGGTACATTAGTAAGCCGTGAGGTGCTTCACAAGGCGCAGCTAGATGACGGACTTTGCCAACGCGTGTCCGCTTGGATGGCAGCACGAGGTCCAGTCGACCGCCTAAGTGACAAGGAGTTTGTGGGCATAAAGGGAGGGTAGATCACGTACCTTTTACGAGGACCAGAGATCAGTCCAGTGCTCAAACGGGAATCCGATGCCCGTCCTACCGCGCGGCCGACGGCTACCAGCGAGGGCGGTCGCCGCGCCGGGTTCGGCCAACGCCATGCCAACAACGATGATCCTGGTATCCAACAGTGTTTTTTTGAGTACCAGGGGTTCCCAACAAGACACTGCGGTTGAGCGAGCCGTAGACACAGTGTGACCGCAGCGCTCGCCGACCTGAGAGCCAAAGGGGTAATTGCGAGCGGAGTCATCGCCGGTCGGACGAGCTCACGCCGCTACCCGTCGTCGCTGGAGTTTGGGGCCAGGGCTCTCGGCAGACGGACTTCCACAGGTAGTGGGGACGCCGACTGTCAGAGCCAGGGGAATCACTAGCGTTGAGTCATCGCCGGTTGGACGAGCTCGCGCCGCGACTCGACCCGTCGCCCGGAGTCCAATCCAGGACTCCTCGACCACACGGCCGTCCACTCGGAGGGCAGGCCCGACCCTCCCTCGCGCGATCTCGCTGTTCCCCCGGAATCGGGGAGACGCGCGGAGGAGTGCGAGAGAGTAGGTCAGCATGGTGACGTACTCTCCCCGACACGATACGGAGCTACCGGGCTCGAAGTCAGACGACTTCGCCCGGAACGTCCGCGGGTCACGCCTTCTCGGGGGAGGGAAACCAATGGCTTCCACAAGTTCGACTATTACTTGATGAGCGACGACGGCCTCCTGGTGCGTTACATCCCCCAGTCCGACGACGATCCGAATGGCTCGGCGTTCCGGACCGTGATACCCCGCAAGCTACGTAAGCTTTTCATCCGATACATACATGAGTCTGCCTTGGCAGGACACAGCATACAGTGGGAGCAAAACTTACGAAAAGTTATCCAAAGTTGCTACCTGGCCAGGCATGAGGCTGGATGTGCTCCGATACGCTCGTAGCTGCTCGGAGTGCCAGAAGGTAAACCACGTGATGGTCAGCCCCCCGGTGTCATGCAACCAATCGTGAGTCAGAGGCCTTGGCAGATTTGTTGTTGTGACGTCATGGGCCCCTTCCCACGTAGTTCCCGCGGCAACCAGTACTTGTTTGTGGTAACCGACCACTTCACAAAGTGGGTTGAGTTATTTCCTTTGCGGAAGCTAGATTCGCCACAAATCTGGGAGCGTCTACTTGAAACATTCGCTAGGTTTGTCTTTCCTGCACAACTTGTAAGCGATAATGCCTCCTATCTAACAAGTAAGGTGTTCGTGGACGCGTGTGCGGTGCTGGGACAAAAGAACTTCCCATACCACCCGCAAGCAAACATCACAGAAAGGGAAAATCGGAACATTAAGATGATAATAGTGGCCTTTACTGAGCGCCACAAGGACTGGGACGCGAAACTGCCGGAGCTGGCATTCGAAGCCGTACGACCATAAATCGGTGAACGGGTCTCACTCCTGCCCAATTGAATTGCGGCAAGGAGCTCGCGTTCCGGCTTTTTAACAGTCTCCTTTCCACGGAGTCTAGGGGAAGGCTTCGCCCCTACGTGAAGTTTGCAGAGGACCTGCGAAAGCGCTTCTCTGATAACCTTCGACAGTCCCGAGAGAATCTTGACGTCGCCCGAGTACAGCAGGCAGAACAGTACAACAAGGGGCGACGTGACTTGCAGATCGAGGTGGGAGATTTTGCACTCCGGCGTATGCTCACCCACTGAGTGACGCCGCTCGAGGCTTCGCAGCCTCCCTCGCCAACAAGTGGGAAGGTCCGTTTCGCGTTTGTGGAAAGTGCTCACCATTCACTTACAAACTAGTTCACTGTGAGTCTCATGAGGAAACCGGGCATGTTCATGTCACTGATCTTAAACAATTTTTTTCAAGCAGAAGGGGAAGATTCCTCGCAGGACCGGAACGACACTGGCGGCAGTCCCGTCCCGGAAACCCCCTTGTCTCCACCAAGGCGGCGGTATAACCTGCGACGTCGGTGACACCAAAGAGAGAGGAACCTTTTGTCTTTTCTTTCTACTCTCTCCTCGGCTTCGCCTCTCTCGCATTTTGAGGGCAGTTTTCTACTTCCAACGATCTGCTCCCTTTTCAAGAGAGTGGGGAGAAGATTGTGTACCCACCTCAGATCCGTTATTTCGAACCTTCTGAAAGGAGTGTGAAGATAACGTCAAGCTCCACCCTCAAATGAGCCCCATGTCGTCTGCTTTCTTCTTTTTCTATGAAGCTGGCTCGTGGACAACACCGTCATCACACCCGCCATCAAAACGACACGGCGACAGGTCTCATGGTGGACCGGGCCACCAAGGACGTCGGCACTCCAGGGGTGGCCCAGGGAACCATGGACCGCGGCCACCCTCTGCAGGACGGAGCGGCAGCTGGCTCGGATCAAGGGGGACCACATGGAGAGCAGCCACCTGCTGGAGACGGTCCAGAGCAACAAGGTGGCCGCCAGCCAAGCCCTGATCAAGAGCAAGGAGCTCAAGCGACAAGCTGGAGCTGACCGAGCCGCTGCAGAAAGAGCAGCATGTGACCAAGAAGCGAGTTAGAGAGCGGATGCCGAACGCATAGCGCGCGTCAACCAACGTGGCGAGCGCGACCTCCAACGGGCCATCGCACTCGTTCAGCAGTCGCCGGCCGGACTTGCAACGCCAGTCCGCCCAGCAGCGCCATCCGCCCCCTGACGCCCACGACGTCGTCTCCGTCATCGACATGCCGGACCACGGCCGGTCTCGACGCGCGTCGAGACCGGCCGCAGCCGGACGAAGCTTGAGGGGAAAGGGGGGGAGTGTGGGCACCCTGGCGGCTCCCCAGCCCAGTTGCCCGACTGCAAGGTCGACCTTTTCCCGTGTGGCTGCGAAGTCAAGCCAGCCACGCGCGCATCGGATGCGCCGCCTTGATAAGACGGATCAAAGGTGGCGCACAGGGAGTCGCTGCCTGAACTCAGGCGCCGCCGGAAATACTGTTAATCGTCTCGTCCATGTCCCATTAAATGTAGTTTCTTGTTGTTGAAACCGTTGGCTCCCTGTTATTCCTCTGGGTCGGGTATGCAGCAAGGCAAACCGACCACAATGTTAGCCTTAACAAGAAACAATAACCCAAATTTGTTTTACTGTTTCTTAACTTCATTTGACGCATTGAGTTGTGCTGCAGTTGATTCTTAGGCTTTCAACTTCGACATATTTAATAACATATTTGGCATAAAAATGTATATCACTGGGAGTGAAAATTATTTTAGCTTAATTGCTGCAATACAATTGCAGGTGTATAAACAGCACAGGATATTAAATATGTTCACAGAGCCTCGGTCCGTGGCGAGTGTGTTCATAAATTTCCTCTACCCCCCCCCCCCCCCCCCCCGCTCCGCCCCACCCCGCCCCGCCCCTCGTGTCCCGCATTTCGTTAGCAGAGAGGTGGTCACCCTATAGGGTGGGGTGTCGCGGCGGTCCACGAGACGGGGGGAGGGGGGGGGGGGGGGTATCGCGGCGGGCCACCCTATTGACGCCACTCTCACGGTCCCGGGTCCCGACGAGGCACCTGAACTGCCCATTTAAGTCCGGGAAAACAATCTTCTACAACTGGTAGTATACATAATCCGTACACTTTGCATAAACCTAAAGAGAAGTTAAAGTGCACTTAAAATTAATTTATAGCATCCTTACAAAAGTGTACGCTATTAGATTATTTTTAGTACATTGATAGTACAATTTTAGGACATTTCAAGTATGCAGAAGTACAGTCCCCTCAATATGAGAAACTCATTCGTCTATTCAGTTTATGCGTTGGTGTAAAGTCCACACATGTTAGACAATATAAGTTTGAGGGAGGGGAAAGAACAAAGCTTAATTTGTTTTTTTTTTCGTACTAAGAGACGTTGTCCTTGTGAAAGAGAATTCGGCAGATCCACCTTCAAATGCATTATCTAATGGGTTTTTTCATAATGGTGTACTAGTTTTGTTACAGGTACTTTTATTAGTCTACGAGTGCACTTTTTGTACACTTAAAGCATGCTTTTAAAAAGACTGCCTTATTACAAACCTAATTTTAGTATACTAAATATAATTTTAGTGTATTGCTTTTTTCCAAGGGTAGAGCTGTGGCTTATAGAAAAATATAGTATATAACTATATCAGTTATCTACGCACTTAAATGTGTTAAAGGGATGCTGAACCGAAATTCGGATTCCAGAAAACACGCGGCAAGAGCGTGCAACGGGATGCTACAAAGACCAAAACATCATTCATACAGCGATATCTCGAATAGATGACCGTATTTTTCAAGAAAAGGAGGCGCATTTGAGAGAAATGTTCACGTCATGTTTCTCCGAGAAGGAGAGGGAACGGCCTCGCGTCTTCTCCGCCTCGCCGCCTTGAGGGGGTGAAGCGAAGAGAGGAGAAAACGAGATATCTTCACATCACGCGCCACGTCGGCCTGGTTCAATCTCGATCTCTTTTTCCCAAAATACGGGCGTCCATTCGAGATATCGCCTTACGAGTAGTGTTGTAGGGATGTAGCGTCCCGCTACATTTCCTGCATGGTTTTCTGAAATTCAAATTTCGGTTCACCATCCCTTTAAGGAGCCTTAAAAATAATTAAATGACTGAACTGCCAGCTTGAGAATTCTTCTGTTCCTAACGTATTGTGGTTTTTGAAAAATTACATAATTGCGCATAATATATATGACTTGAGAATATACGGATTAATGTTCTAGAGCACTGCTACGGTAACAACAATTATTTCATAGGAAATGTCAACATGACAATTTTCAAGTCAGTCAAACAGCGAAAAATGTAGCCCGCATTCCTTGATTCGATAATCGCACTTCGGTCGAAAAGAAAATGCTATACTTTAAATCACTTACCTAACGGAGCTGTTGTCACTTGTTCCTCAAGCTCGGGGCCCATTAAAAGAACGTCAGGGCCAATATAATTTTGTGCCGATACATATACGTTATACCTTACTCCCGGCACAAGCGTCAAATTGGCGGTCGTCCACTCCTTTTCAGATGGCCAAGGTGAAGAAACGTTGACCTTTCTATAGCCTGATAAGTTTCTTTCCTGATCCTGTGCCTCCCAATGTATGTGGTACTTGAATGGAGAGCCGTTCCAGAAGTCAGGGGCTACGATCTGTACAACCACTTTTCCTTCCTCATTTGCGAGAACACGGATCTCTTTCGGTGCAGGAGGGTCTGAAGAAAGATACAGCGAACAAGGAATTTAACCGATGTTTCCGATTTGGAAGCTTGTCTATGGAGTATCGCAATGCGAGTTCGGGCTATTTAAATAGCCTCCTGAACTGGCTAAACGAGAACGAGCTGTACACTGTACACTCTCATTTCCGTTCCCCTTAGGTTCCAATTGAACTGCAACGTATTTGCCAAAAAGAGTTGCGCTTAGCAAGGAGAAAGCGTGTTTCACATATTTTGTAGTTAATAAGGAACAGTGTTTTAGATAACTGTAAATACTTTGTACTTTATACAGATCAGTGTTTCGGATGAATGATATCTATAAATGATAACGAAAAAAAAAACATCTTCTGAAAGCTTTTGACTGGAACATATTGGAGCTTACATTAGAGAGGTTAAGTGGAACAGTCTCTGTGTGAAACGACAATCTGCATTGCGTCTACGTATTCCAGATAAAAAGAAAGGAAAACGAAGTGTTCCACATATAATCCCAATAAATACTAAAATTTGAGCTGTATCAAAATGAATATGTGGAACGTTAATCTAACTGGAGCCTATGCGGAGCCGGATTAAGAGTGTAGTTCGTGAACTTTGCATGATTTCCTTTATGAGGTATGCTTTCAAGAATTAACATCCTACCAACCAACAAAACGCACGCTTTATCATTACCTATTTTACAATTCACCAGAAATTGGTTTGTGAATCTTACGAGCTTGCAATGTTCGCGATGCTATACATGTGGATAATCTGACAAATAATTGAAACCGTCCAGCGAGGTCATATTTACATCTGGATTCACATGAAAATGGCTTTTAAAACGCTGAAAATCGACGGAGCGAAAGTCATTCAGCTCGAAATGGTTATCGCCAGTTTTTTGTCATTTTCCATTATAGTTGTTATAAAATAGCTTACTGCTAGTCTACAGAACTAAATGCGAAGGTAAAAATTGGTGTTTACAACTACTATAGGGTGATTTCAGATAAGATTGACCAAAGGGCGGCTAGTAGACATTTTTAAATAAAATTATGTTTTATATGCCATTGTCAAGTGTCTGGTATCAAGAAATCCCCATTTAGTTTTGACCAGAAAAAAAAAAATTGGGGTCAGGAAAAATTGTAAGGCATGAAGAGGTGGACAGTTGCATTAACGCGCACTGATGGAGGGGGCACGTTTGAGAGTGACTAACTGAGGGGATAAAATTAGGACAAATCTAATACTTCTCACAAACAAACTATGGATACAGCTTGCTTGTAATATATAGTAATAATATTTACTTAAACTATATTTTGTGTTCTAATAATTGCCAAACATGCCCGCTCGAACGACAAATTGCAAAATTTGGAGGCCTGTGATATCTCATAAAATAATTTATTCATTATCATATACTTTGCAGATAGTACTCTATTTATATGTGGCTATTATTTAAAACAAATATATAAGGTATCTGAGTGATACGATAGTCGTGACATATTTAGGCAAACATGGGGAAAAAATCAAACAACAAAAAATTCCGAAGCAAAAAAAAAAAAAAAACCTTTCATTTTTATTTAATTTTTGGTATCCTGTCATGTTCTATTTCGGTATTCATTTCTATTAAAGACATGTTGCATTATTTGAGTGAGAAAGAAGACAACTTCCCAAAGTAGGGTCCTTTTTCAAAGCCTACACTTAGCAGTGCCCTATCCGAGAAGTTACTCTGAGTTCCAGTTTCAAGGAACTAAGAGACATCTGTTATATATTTTATTCAGATAAGGCCATTGTTAACTATATTAATCGTTCACACATTAAGAGTGAGGAGAAACTACTGTGTACAAAGAGCTATTATATTACGGAGTAGTAATCCGAGAAAAGATCCAGCACCCATCGGCCACTGGGAACTTCGTTTACTTTATTCTCCTGCGACACTATATGCTATTCTCTCTTCCTTTCTAGCGCCGTCTCTTTCTCTCTCTCTTATATATATATCCCTGACTTATATCTAGAATAAAACATATTCAAGCATTCTCTTTCTGCGTGATATTGTTCTGTGGCTAGCAACAATCATTTACTCACGAAGATCACGATTATGGCGCAATAGTTGACGGAAGTAGCAGACGACACTCGTCGCCAGTTCTCGCAAAACAGCCGGTGCAGTATTTCTTTGCATTTCCCCGAACGCTATCAAGGATAAGGACGGGGAGAAAACGTTCGTGCCAAAGCGCTTCCTGACACGCTCAATCCGAGAGGCCTTTCTTGTACACAAAGACAAGCATCCTGATTTTGGCGTTGGGCTAACGAAATTTCATTGACATAGTAACCCTGGAGCTCGGGGACAAAAAGGGACGGACATACACGAAATGTCCATCCTTAACCAGCTCGCCTGCCTACTTGCTTTAACTGAAATTTTATTCCTTCCGCCCTAGATGGGTCAAGTGCATTCCACACCAGGAAGTGTGCTTTGTGTGCGCTGCACCAAATATTACCTTTGTATTGCCGCTGTAAAGAACGTCACAGGCTCAACATTCAACACTGGTGAAAAGAACTCAGCATTTCTGTGCGACCCACTAACAGGTCTGTGTCTTTAAGGACACTGTGATCACTCCCCAAAAGGCCAGTCTCTTACACTCGGGGAACTTCATATCCCAGAGGATGACGAGATTGTGCTTACAACATGAGAGTCCGGCAACCTTGTGAAAACAAATACTTTGAATACTGAGGCTTTTCTAAAGGTCGTTCGAGTAACGGTTGAAAGTTGGATATTTCACAACCATATCCGACAAACGCAAGATTAAGCGACCTACGATGAAAACCAGTGCATGCAACGCGGGATCATTGTCTATCATTTTGACTTTGCGGAAAACTGGTCCATCGTGCTTCCTGACAAAGTTCAAGCATACCATTGAAAAAAAAAATGTGCCGATATTTCCATGTGTAGTGCCGACAAGAAAATCTACAAACAGCTTTTGCTGTCATCAGTGAGCACCTGTGTGACGTCACCACTCACACGTGCTAGGCTCTACAAGAAGTGAAAGAGAGGGTTGAAGACAACGTTGTGGTATAATCGCACATGAGTCATGACTTACGTAAGTGACGGGGCCGCCAGTCATTTTAAGAATCGTTACCATCACCACTTTGCACAGAATCATTTCCCACAAGCCCAGTGGTTATTTTCTGCACCTGGACATGGGAAAGTGCATGCGACGGAGTTGGCGGACTCGTGAAGCACCAGGCCGCACTGAACAACCTGAATAAACGCAATTCAGACGGCTAGGACAATGGTGAGCGTTCTATCCGAGAAACTGAAAGGCGCGCATCTTGTGTATCTTGACGAAAATAAAATTGTTTGGTATCGTCAAAAAAACAAACAAAAAAACAGTGGCTGCACGGTGCGCGCCTTTAATTCCTGGCATTCAGTTTTGGCACGAGTGGCGGCTGTGAAAGTCATCAACAGAAGGAACTTGTGACGTATATGTAGCACGGACAGTCGGATCTGGTTAGAAAAACAACTTTATTAGTTGGGTACAGCGAGTAAAGCCTTAGAGTAAAGTGCCGAATTTGATTCCCCAAGGACTGCTCCTTTTGAAAGCAGGGACATCTTATTTATCACAGCTTTCTTCGCGCGGTATTTAACCTATTGTTTTGCTTGGTGATAGCTTATAATCTTTATTCAATCACCATACGAGAATCACAAAACGTTATCCTCGAGCAGGAAAAATATTCTCGGTTTGCCACGATCCACTCGCACACCGAGAGTATCGAAGCTCTTACAGTCCGGCGCGGTGGCACCCCGTACCTGAAATGGTTTTTCCCTGGAAACACATAGCTCACCTAAACAATTTTAGTAATCTGTGTTTATTTTTGTGTGTGGAAGTAATTTTTTTTTCTTTCTTTATTTTAAGTATAAAATAGACCGAAATGTAAAACTTCACACTGCATGACCTTTTCTCGAATCACTATAGTCTCTTATATGATACCTCTTTGTACGCTCTATGTAAAATGCTGCATATTGGTAGTTTCTCCTCACTTTTACTGTAGGACCGATGGCTCTAGTTGTCAGTGACCGCATCTGAATAAAAATTTATGAAAGATGTTTTTTTATTTTCCTGAAACTGGAACTCAGAGTCACTTCTGGTATAGGGCACTGCTAAGTGTAGGCTTTGAAAAAGGACCCTACTTTTGGGGACTTGTGTCTTCTTTCTCAATCAAGTAATTCAACATGTTTTTACTAAAAGTTAATGGCAAAATGAAGTATGACCGGGTACCTGAATTAAAATAAAATCAAAGGTGGTGTTATGTTTTTTTGTTTGCATCGGAAATTTTCGTTGTTTGATTTTTTCCCCATGTTTGCCTAAATATATAACGACTATCATATCATTGAGATACATTATATATTTTATAAAATATTATTCATATAAGTAGAATGCTATCTGAAAAGTGTATGATGATGATTAAATTATTTCATGAGATACAGGCCTCCGAATTTTGCCATTTGTCGTTTCAGCAGGCATGTTTAGCAATGTTTAGAAAACTAAATATAATTCAAATAAATATTATTACTATATATTACGCGGAAGCATACACGTAGTTTGGTTCTAAAAAAGTATTAGATTTTTCCTAGTTTTATCGCTTTAGTTATTCGCTTCAAACCTGCCCCCTCCATCAGTGCGCATTAATGGAACTGTCGACCTCTTCATAGCTTACGATTTTTCCTGTCCCCAAATTTTTTCTCTGGTCAAAACTAAGTGTGGATTGGTTAATACAAGACACTAGACAATAGCATATAAAAACATCAGTTGATTTAAAAATATCGACCAGCCACCCTGTGGTCGATCTTATCTGAAATCACCCTATAATAAAAATGTAACGTAAAAAAATATCGTGCACATGCACTCTAAAAAAATCCGCGCGTCTACTTTCCCGCACAGCACTCGGAGAGCCAATCGCTTAAACTTACCGAGGTAGCTCATCGATTGTCAATGACGAAACATATGTTTAGACCAAAAGACGCAGTCTGAGTTGTGACATTAACCAATGCAAAACGTCACGCTTGCATTGCTTAATGTCACGACTCACAACTCAGACAGCGTTTTTTGTTCGAAACATGTTTCGGCACCGTCATTCACTGAGCTGCCTCCGTAAGTTGCGGAGATTGGCTCTTCAAATGTTGAATGCAGGAAAGTAGACGCACGGGCGTTTTTTAGAGTGTGTACTTGTTTAGTACAGTGTAAGCATATTCGTTTTACGTCGTTGTAGAATATCGTTACCATACGGATCAAGAAACGCATTTTGTGCCACCAAATAAAAACCTTACATTTTAAAAGTTAAAATTTTTTTTTACAAGTTGGCTGTGCCTTTTATTTTTCTAAAGAAAAATTAGTAGCTTGACGTTAACCTACGGTAGAAACGGTGTGCAGTGTGTAAGAACTTAAAGTCAAATTTCGCACGGGTATAAAATGATTATCAACGTGCAGAGTCATTTTCAATACTTATAAGTAGACCTACGGTCGCTTATAGGTGCTGAAAATTTGAAACCAAATAAGTAATTGGTTAAAACCGGAACGGTTTTAACCAAATAACATTGATAAATATCCGTCGTCGTAAAAATACAAAATTTGCTAAAAAAACCAAAAAACGAACACCAATTAACAAGTGCAGGTCTAAATTTATATCGGTTAAAACAAAACAATTCCGATTTTTCTAAAATCTACTGCTTTATCCATGATTTTTTTTTCTGCCGAAAACGTCCTCAATAATATTCGAAATCTAGGTTCTTCATGAAATGTTTTTATCAATAATCACGATCTTTAGTACCTGTCCTAAAACGATCATCGAAAAACACCAATATTTGAAACATTATTATACACCGAAAAACATCCCCGATTTTTGATATAAACAAATAACGGAAAATACACGGCCTTTTTCTAATCTAACCTTCCTTAAATGTCCGAAACAAACTTACTTGAAGGCTCCGTTTTTATCGTGACTGTTGCAGCTCTTCCAAGTCTTGTGCGTCGAATATTGCGCCAGACATCCACGCTGCTATAGAGCCTCCTCAAAGTGATGTTATATCCGGTCCACGGTATCAGACCAGACAGCAGGTAGCTGGTCAGCTCAGGCTTCAGTTGTGATTTGATTGTTTCATGCGTGGAGTTCACGGTAAGAAGGTAACCAGAAAAGGTGAGTGACGAGCCGTGCATTGTTTCGGATTTCTCGCCTGTTGACCACTCCAGTAAAGTGGATGTATTTCTCGTATCACTAGCGTTCATGGTCAGAGTCTGCAGCAGGTAGTCCGTTGGTGCTGATGGGATAAACAGGTAATTATGTCTAATTGTTTTTCTCAAACCGGTTTGAAGATTGTATTAATAATTTCATACAAAATCGGACTGGCTGAAGTGATCGAAGTCTTAATTTCTACGAAAAAAAACAAGTATATGCTTGAAGGCATTTGTGAGATGGAAGAAACAAACGGCATTTCCCTAATGTTTTGTTTGTTTTCAAGTTATGAATTACTCTAGCGGACGAGGCACAAGGTGACCTTTTTCTCCCTATCAAGAATCGCATGTTTGACCTATTTATATTTTATTATACGTTGAAGTACGTTTTTTTATGCAGTCTAAATACAGCAAATGCAAAATGACAATTTTATTAAATTTTCGATTTTTTAAAACCAATATTTAAGTGTTTCTTTTTGACGAGGTTCGCTAAGGTTTGGCCAGGAACAATTTGACCTAATTGAGATTTTTTACCAATACACGTTCACAAAGCCCGTTGTTAGTCGTTTTTTTTAGTATAAATTCAATATTGCTTCTTACTCAGATAAGCTGTTACAAGCATTTGAGTAAGCGACTGTTTAAAAACCTTGTAAATAAAAAAAATTGTTTTACAAGAAGGTATTGCAGTGCTTATGCAGGAAACAGTAGCTTGAATTTTGTGATGCGCTCGTGTTGATTGTCAGTACAAGTGAGTTTTAGTATTGTGCATACGAGCAAACGCAGGCACTGCGCGTCTCCGTTAGTGTTGCGTGTTTCAGACTGAGCGTGCGCAAAGCCCAAAACTGCGTCTCGAATCGAGGAATGGCAACTACCCGCATGAGCAGCATGCAGCATGCAGCACGCAACGCTAACGCAAACGTACAGCGCTTGCCTTTGCTCCTGCACGCAATACTAAAGCTCTAGAACTGGAAGGGTGCAATGAGACAGTGGCGTAATTGTGCGGCCTGTTACAGACGTATTTTGCATAGACATTATTCAATGTCAGCTCACACGTGCACAGCTCTATACAAAACGTCCGAAGCGGGAGCTGCAACGCTAGAAATGTTTTTTCCGCGATCATCTCAATCGCGATCATCTTCGTCTGCTCGATCGTTTTTTCGCGATCATCTTCGTCTGCTCGATCGGCCAGTGAACGAAGAGCAATATTTTAATTATGAGATTTCGAAGGAATCTGAAGTGACATCCCATGAGGACCACTGACCTTGTGCTCTAATAATGTTCATTTATAAAACACCGTCTTTTTTTATTTTTATTTTCTCCTTGGTGACATCGGAATCCGGAATTTTTCGAATAAGTCCGAATTGATGGAAAATTTACCGGGGAGTGTTCTTCGGATTTTGTAGGATTTATTCGAAAGAATGGAACATCACATATAACAAAAGAAGCGGAAAATACTTCCCATGTATCATTGCAGGTGATACCACAGCGAAGCTGTGGTATCACCTGCAATGACTGCCAACTGCACTATAGACCCATTTTATGGCAAACGCCACCAAATGATGCTTCTCTTTGTCGTCCTAGTGAACTTTCCGTTTAAAAAAAAAAGAATAAACAAAGGCCACTTTAACATCGCTGCTTGAAATGTGGATGAAGCGTTCAACCACCGATTCTCCAGGTGAACGTCAAAAGGAACGAAGGAATGCGAGATCTGTTAAAATGTTTTGAGTATTCTTGTGAACCAAATTTCCTTCTCCAAGATGTAATATTGTACGGCCGAAGACTCTCGCTAAAGGGGCAGTGCAATGATTTTAATGTTGAAAGAGTTGGCTGTTTGTATTTTTTTTATATTGTTTATCGCAGCACAAGTCACCAAAAGTGCGTCACCTTGTCCCGTAAAGCTGTTATTTCGCTGCGTAATCGCAAAGAAAAAAGTCGGATTATTTGTCGATCTGCAGCCGCGTGTGGCGGTTACGAAAACTACGGTGACAGCGCTTTTGGTGGATACGCGGAAGTCAACAAAATCCTGTCCCCCTCCGCGGCTACACTCGCCGTCAGTCCCGTGGCAAGCCGTCTTTTGTGTGGATCGATCGCCGTGACCTTTGACGATGCTAATCCTTTAAAAGTCAACAATCGCGGAGGAAGCGGCTGGGGTCTCTGGAGAGAAAACCCAAGGGAAAACCACGCGATCCCCCAGTTTGTGTCACTCGAAGGGTAACGTGTAGAGTTGAGGGGGACTTTGACCTTGGATTTTTTCAATTTTTTTAAAATAAAAACTGTCGTTTGCAAAAAATACGGTTTTCTGTTCTTCGTTCCATAGGTGACACAGATTATTTTTCGCAGTTAATTGGCCAAAGTTCGGAAATCATTGCCTCGCCCTTTTAAATCTACAACCTAGTTGTCCGTGCAGTATTTATCCTCTCTAGCACTGGTGACGTACGCAAGCACATCAGGCTTGCAAAGACGGTGGGACCGGAAGTCGCTTGGGACGCAAGTGGCACTTCAAATTTGTAAATAGCAAAAGGGTGTATACCAAATGATCGACGAATGAAAAGTAAATGCAAAGTACCAACACTTCTTTATATATTAAATACTTCGTATGCTGCCGTTGCCGCGGCAACTATATGCAACCGCAATTCCTACCAAGAAACGCATGCGAAGAGCGCTACGTGCTCATCATCGTTCACGCGCACCTTATCATTTATCACGTGGTTTTCACACTTGCTTTGTGGTTTTCTTATTGGAACAAGCGTCAAAACTAGATGATAAATGATAAGGCAAGCGCGAATGGGGATAAGGCGCGCGCGATGGTTTTCTCTCAACAGACACAAAAAAGGGGGGGGAAAAAAAAAGAAAATTGTCTTACGAGAGTTTTGCTGAAAAAAATACCTGGCGCTGTGTTGCCGTTTTCGCCTTACATCAGCGGGTGACATGAGTGAACTCGAGCTCCGAGCGACGCCTACGTGTCAAACGACGTGAGAACACATGCAGAGCAGCGCTGCACGCGGGTAGATACTTGAATGTCCAGGCCAGGTGCTGAACCTTTCCATCGGAGCGAGATCGAGAAACAAGGCCGCGGGACGCAACGCGGACGCTGTCGGTATCTCTCCTAAACAGCATAGTCTCCTCTATGCTCACAAAGCCCCTACAATTCGACGACGAAGCCATAGGCCGTGTTCTAAAATATACTTGACCTTACTCCAGGGTAAGTGTTTTCAACATTGGTGTTCCAAAACCTACCTGCATCCAGCGTTTTGCAATCAGTGTTGTGACGTAATACGACCCTCCGGAGTAACTCGGATTCATTGGGGCAAAATTTGGAACACAGCTATAGAGTGCCCGGTCGAAAGATTTGGAGCGCGAGGATTTGGTGGCACAGAGCATCAAAGAGCCATTTCACGGAGAAGCTGGACGTCAGCAGCAATGCAAGGAACGTCAGCGTATCCAGCTTTAGCAGCGCCGAGAACCCGAAACACACAAGCGGCGCGCCAGTCACGTGGCTCGCCTCTCATTCGTTGTCTGCCGCTCCACCCTTTCCATTTCAGCGGCCGCTCCTCGGGGCGATCCGCTAGGCTTTGTCAGTAAATAGGAGGTTATGCAACCAGCTAAAAAGAAGGAGCAGAGCGCCTCCTTTAGGTGCCGGACGCTCCCTATAGATGGTTTGCGAAAACGTATCTGACAGAAAGTTCATTCATTTAAGTTTTACTAATATCCTAGGGTATCATTGATTTGTTTAGTGATCCCACTAGGTAGCATAACTACCTAAATATAATGCTGATTACCAGGACACATAGGTTTGGAATATAATAACGCACATCTGAGGAAATCTAATATTTTTGTTTAATTTCCTCAATATTTAGAAGCAAATCGATCCTGAACATTCAAGTTTTCAAACAATCATTCCTTCAAAATGCATGTAACACACTCTTCTTTAAGTCTGTAAAATTAAAAATTTAAATACCCAGGGCTAAGTCCGGGCTTACCGAGGACATTTATATTATTAGAAAATATCAATTTGGTAAAACGGCAGATTCCTCTCAACTTGATGATACATGATCAAAATGTGAGAATATGTACCAAAAATTTATTCCCATTGATATTTATATTTTCTACCCCGAAACTCTTGGAAAACATCAGACTGCAGAGTTAAGTATAAAGGCACAAAGAGGGTAAATATGCCACTTCGAATAGGGAGCAAAGTTGACACTTTTTGCCTTGTCCGCTTCAATGGTTCTTAACTGGAAAAATACAAATCAACGAACTTGCCCCTGGCGCCTGCTTTCTCAGAAAGGCGCCAGAAAACACGGTCGATGCGAACAGTGCCTCCATATTTAAAAGGACACAAAACTCCGAAACAGAGGAAAAATACAGCAAAAGCCGTGAAATGTTATAATGAAAACGAGGACACCGATGTGAGATAACATAAAAAACAATTTAATTTAAAGTTTTGACTACCATGCGGAGGCATCTTCACTAAGTACAACAGCAGTGCAAGGATCTTTCTCGACACAGCTTTGTTGAGATAGACCCTTCCTTGCATTGCTGCTGTTCCCATTGAAGACGCCACCCGCGTGGGAGTTGAAACGTTTAATGGCACTGTTTGTTTACACTATATTTTAAGTGCATAAATAAAGAAAACAAAAAAACAACGTCTACTTTAAATTAAGTAGACGAAGAAAGCACATTTTAAGTTAGGAGCCATTCTGATATTTCGAAACGTCCACCCGACCACTGATCCGTGTTTCGGAATGACTCCTAGCCTTTTCATTGTCGCATTTTTTTGTCCAAAGACGCGCCCCCGTGGTCGAGCTTTTTTACTCGGTGTGATAGCAAAGAGTATACACTAGTTTATTGTCGCATAAAAATATGTTAGACTCAAAATAAATAGTACACGCACTTCAAAACATCTGCGGCACACTAGCTGGAGGCTGAACAAAACAAAAAGGACTAAAACTTCGACGCGCCCGTTTCCGAGACGGTGTGGCTGTGTGTAGACTCCGGACTCCGAACCGAGCTGGTTTCCAGTTGTTGGCCGGATGTCGAACTGTCATCCGACTCAGAGTCCGAGAAGGGTTCAAGGTCTGAACCCGAAGAGCCAACACTCCAATCTCCGCTACGTTACCTCTGCGGCAGCCGGCACCCGCGGCCATTTCGAAAGTATCATTTGCACAGAAGGCTGCGCCGAAA